CCCCCCCCCCCCCCCCAATCATTTCTGGTTCTGCACCTACGCAGTTTTCACCAGCTCTCTTAACCCTTGCTCTAGCAGCATGGAGAGCACTGCCGAGCACTGGCTGATGGCCCTTCTCCCTGGGGAGGCACCTGGGATGGGTAAAATGCCACTTACACCCCCACAGAAGCCAGTGATACAGCAAGGGACTTACCCAGATGGGGTCAAACATCTCAGCAATGCTGTAGATAAGAGCAAATTAGATGACACTAGATGGACCCCACAGCAGGTTTGTGTATGGGGCAGTCATAGAGTATGTTCAGACTCAGGGTTTCTGCATAGAGGGAACTGAAGTGAAAATCAAGTTAAGGTCACTTGAACACTGCATTTCAGTGTGCGCACAGGGGCTGAATGCCCTTTAATCCACATTAAATAAAGGTGCGATTTAATTCTCCTGCCTCCCTGGGCAGACCAGACCGAAGACCGTCCATGGACAGTGCAGGTCACCCACACAGGAGGGAAGGGCAGGTCCCTCTAAGCAGGCACTTTGCTCCAAGAACCTTGAATGGGACTGGAGGTGAAGGTGGCCACTTACCTGACACAGGGGTTTTCAAATGCTCCTGCTGCCTTTGTATGGGCTGAAGCTGCTCCAGCACTTCTGCTTTGCTTCCTTGAAAGGCAGTTGTGAAAGTGAAGAACAGCCGTGCCAGTGAAGCCTGACCAGAAGGGGCTGGGTTAAGAAGTAAAACTAGAAGTTTAACCCTATGTCCATTCTGAGAAGTCATCTGACTGCTGGGACTAAAAAGTAATCCCCCTAGGGAACAACGAATCTCTCTTTCACGTGAAGTGGGAGCTTTGCCCATCCAAGCCTGAATTCCAGCCCTCCAAGGAAAGGGCTCTGACCCAGCAGAGATGGGAGAGGCCAGACAGCGAGGGAGGACGGGACACCATCACACACTCTTTACATGGGGACCATGCCCAGCTCCTAAGCATCTGAGCTCGAGTGGAGGCTTTCACAGAAGAACATCCCCCATCTTGGCAGCCACCCTACGCAGAGCAGGATTCCTCTTGGCCTTTAGCACCCCTGGGGTGATCACCACCACAGCCAGAGCTTCTCCAGGGGACACGGGGAATCCTGCAGGGGCTGGGTAATGAAGGCAGGAATATGCATTAAGTGCCCTGTAAAGTCAGGAAGGAGGGTGTACAGCAGGAGGATACCTGGGCTGGGGCCACCTCACAAGATGCACCTCTGAAAGAGAGCCATTCCCCCATGACAATGGCATGTGCAGCACCAACCTCCCGCATCAAGCCCTCAATTCGTCACATACCCCCATGCCATGCTCCCAAACAGGGGGAGGTCCCAGAGACCCCAAGATGTCAGCTCCGGCCATCGCTCTTCTGAGTGACCTTACAAGAAAGACTGGCAGATATGACGGTGACAGGCAGCATCCCCCCAAGAAGTGAGACGACCCGAACAGGATGGGAGCTGGATTTGCTTAGTCACTGGGAAGTCCAGGCCAAGCCTAAATGCTGCAGTACATGGTTTATGTTGGATCCCTAGTGCTAAACACGGGTCAGATTTAACCAAAGTACAAAAAGACAGAAGAGGAGCATGCAATGACAGCGGGTTTTAGTACAAGGTAAAACCTTTATTACAACTTTTCATTCATAGGTATACAACATCTGAAAGACAGATATGGGGGAAAAAAAGTAATATTGTTATAAAATGTCACATTTATTGCTACATTACTGTTATATACAGGACAGTTCTCAAAATCTACTTTAAAAAAGTTAGGATTATTTAAAAATTCCAAATAATCCAGCCAGCTGTTTTGACACTTGTATAAAATTATTTAAAAAAATGAAAACAATTCATATCTTGAGGCACTCAGAAACACAATTTTATCCTCCAATTGTGATTCATTTCAAAGAACAACGCATCTCCCCACCCCCAAATACTTTCTTGTCTTTTTTGCTGGGTTAGGCATATATATATATATTTACTATATATATAGTTCAAAACTATAATGTGTATCTGATTTAAGAACAAGGATTTTCAGCCACTTAAGTACATCTGGATTTACAGGTAGGCAGCATAAACATCAAAAGCAGGGACTGTTTTTTTTTTTCTCTTTTTTAAAAAAAGGCCAAAAAACCATCTAAGGGGTTAAAAATAAACAACTTCCACAGGCATTTCCCCTACAGCTCGCCCTCCCCCAAATCCTAAAAAAATATATATAAAGGGCAATCAAGTAATGCTTCATTTTCTGAACTAGTTGGAATCTCCTTTAGAAAATGGGTGTTTTTCCCCCATGGACTATAAAAGAAAAAGCGGGTTGATGGAAGCGTGGGCCCTGGCCAGGTCCACCAGGCGTCTGTGTCAACCCGCCACCCCCTCCCCCCCGCAAAACCACATTAAATATGAACATGCAGCAGGGGAAATTGCTTCCCATGTTTGTTGAGTCCCCCCCTCCCCGCAAGTCGCACAGCTACATCGTTCGCTCAAGCTGGTGGCTTCTGATGCGATTTCAAAACATCTGGCACTGAACAGAGGGAGATGTGCAGCCTCCTCCATCTCGGCATCTCACCGTTGCTCAAAGCGGCTCCCTAGGGAAGTCCGCGGGTCTCTCTAGGGACCACGGGGGCATTCAGCTGGTGAAGTGCGACACAACACAGGGGATGCTTCTGGAGCAGCCCCAAGAGGCGGCAGCTGCATTGCTTTGATTCCACTCAAATACAATGTCCGCCTTTAAAGCAGCCATCTCTGCTGGACTATTGCTTAACACGACTATGGAGAAGCATACCCTCTCTCCATGAAGGCCCCCTCGTCTCTGCCCAATGCTGACGGGCGGCTGATTTTAACAAGACAGAGGAACAGTATTGCTATCCCCAACCAGGCTTGGCTGGAGCAGAGTCAGCATCATGAGACATATGGAGCGGGAGGTGTCTGAAAGCAGAGCAAAATACTGATACTGAGACCCAAGGAAGGGCTGTATCCCAACCCACAGAGGATCAGGACCTGGGATGATGGAATTCAAGCCAGTTTTGATGGAAGTGACCTTTGCGCTCAGCCACTTGCTTGGAACTGGCCGGTTTCACCACCGTATTTGGCTCCCGTGGCACTTTGTTGGCAAGGGAAATGTCTGGTGATTTTTCATGATGTCTCTTTGGAGATCAGACCCTTGCAAAGGGCACAATCATACCACCCAGGTCAAAGCCAAGGCAGACAGCAGACATCATCTGCTCAAGAGGCACCAGGGAGAACAAAGAGGGTGAGAGGCCACTAAAATAACACCACATGGAAGAGGAAAAAAGCCACGGGAGCTCTTGCCCCAGTACCCCAACACCCTGCTTGAAGCTATGGGAAAAAGTGCCTCCCTATGCCCCACTGGAAATGGTTGCCCTAGTCAGCTGCTTAATCACTGCCTGTTCAAACTTCCATAACTGTGCCCAACCACCCTGCTGGGAGATGCCAACATGGGCCAGGAGCCTGCATGCACCTGGAGCTCTGGTAACTCAAGAGAAGATCTAGCAAGGCCACGGTCACTGCAATGGGACACTGACCTGGGAGAGGCACAGACAGAGGATAAGAGAGGCCCCAAGAAGTGGGGAGAGGATACACATGTGGATGAGAAGCCACAGAAGACGGATCAGTCAAGCAAAGCTTAGCTCAGGTTCCTGTCCTAGCTGAAGCTGGGCTCTGCAGGGAACATGGCAGCCTGCAGTGGGGACTCGGGTGCGCGAACACACAGGACGCCCAGGCTGAGAGAGCAAGATGGGGGGTGCTGTAAATTGGTGTCCGACCACCAAACAGAAGGCACAAGTGGGCAAGTCAGGGGCAGGGAAGCCCAGAACCTGGCTAGCGTAGTCCTTGCCACTTCCTCCAGTTCAGCCATCAGGGCTGGGCCCAGCAAGATGCAACTTTTTCTTGCTCTGGGACAAGACCGAGTGCCCTGAGCTGAATCCCCAGTGCCCTCAGGCTGGGACTCAGCTCCCGTGCATTGCAGCTCACAGGCCACCTTGGGCGAGAGTGGAAAGGAGACGCACATGCTCGACTGCCAGGGCCGTGTGCCACATAGTCAGGGATGAGGGTTGCATAGGACTGAAGTGGGGCATTAGCCTTGAGCAGCTTTCACTCTGAAGTAGCAATCCTGCTCCAGCTGGTATGAGGTGAGAATGAGGACGGTGGGGTGCAGGTTTGGTTGGGGCTGGCTGCTGTGCAGCTCACTAGCCACTAGGCCATTGCTGCTCATTCAAGCCAGGGCTGAGCACAAGACTGATGATGTACCTTGCTCAGGTTTCTGGAGCTCAGCAGTCAGTACCGGGCACCTCCTGCTTCTGAAGTCCCTTCGGGGATCTGGCCCAGAGAAGGGCCAACCCCTCCTTCCGCTCCAGCTTCCAGTGGAGACAAGAGGCGCTGTTGGGGTTTTAATCCTGCTGCCGTGGAAATTGCTGACAAACCCCACATGGGCACCAATGGCCCAGAACAGGTACACGTGAGAACCCTTGGCTTGAACAGCACCAAGGGGGCTGCAGCAAGATGTTGACCAAACACTGGAGCATTTTGGCATTTGTGTCTGGCTGGTGGGAGTACAGCAAGTCGAGGGAAGCTCGGTGGAGGATGGGGGCTGCGCACAGGGACTAAGGCACTGCTCTGGGACGTGGCCACATGGGCAGCTGCTTAAAGATGGAGGAGGGCTTGCGGTGTTAGACCCTAGCTGAGCTGCTGCAGGAGGCTGCGGTGCTGCCCAGCAGCCAGGGTGCGCGTCCTGTGGAAATGCAGCCCCACCTTCCTACACCCCAATGCTGCTGGGCCTGTTGAGCATGGAGCCTTGTGGGAATCAGCTAATCCTCTCCACTTCTTGTGGAAAAATAAGCTGCCTGCTACAGTCACTCACTTGCTGCTTCCACTTCAGAGAGCTTCACATCTGCCCATAAAGCATTTCAGGTGGGAACCACAGACACCACTGGCAAAGGTGGCTGTGTTCCCATTCCTGGTCTCTCAGCACCAGTATCTGGGCTGTCAATGCTGGCAAAGCAGCTCATTTGTTTAAAGCAAGCAGCAGCCACTGGCTGTAGCTGCTGGTCTGGGCTACATGGGGATGAAGCTGACCTGTCGCATGCTGTTCTAAGGGACTCACAGCCAGACAAAGGAAGTCAGGTCTGACCAGCCAAAGGAGGGGTCTTGGCTCATGGGGCTGCCAGTGAGAGCAGGCAGATGCACCCGATGACCCAGGAAGTCCTTTCCACACCTTGCGCAGGAGAACATGTGTATCTTGCACCCGCTCAGTGTAGCACTGTCTCCTGGGCTGGGCCACAAAGAGGTCAATGAGCCTGCTACGTCCTTGAAGGCAGTTTGTTTGTGCCCCATAGGCTCAAGAATGCTATGCTGAGCTGTGGGTTACACCTGCTCCAGAATCCAGCCTTTCCCAGAGTCAGAACAAGGGCAGCGTGCTCGAGATGCTAGCAAAAGCTGCCTCAGCTGGATCAGAAGCCAGGCAGTTCCTTGGGGTGTAATGTTGTTCCTTGTGCTGTTGTGACTCTGGGAAGATGCAGGGTTAGGAGGAAGCTTGTTCCCCAGAAGGCACCAGCAGGGACTATAGGCGGAAACTGGGCAAAAGTGCCAATACTCAATGGAGAGCATCTACAATAGTAGCTCTTAACATTTCCTTTTCTAGCAGCTTTGGTGAAGATGTGGCTATTTTGCTTAGGGGAAGAGAGCAGGAGAGGGGGAAGGAAAGCAGAAGAAACAAGAATTTGCAGTTCTTGGCATCAGTGAGATTGCCAACACTGCATTAATGCCTGATTATGTGCATCCCAGCCAACAGGTTGGCAGGCTTTAAAAATAAGCAGTTGGGTCCCTAGGCAAAGAGGCAGACAGAAGGTCTTCCTTGCGGGTCTGGAGCAGGATGTGGCTGTGGTCCCCCTGCTCCACTTGACACCCCTCCAAAGGGAAGGCCTCCAGCTCACCATCTTCTGCTGGTTTCAGCATGAGGGAAAGCTGAACTGAGGCTGGCTCCTTTCAGCTAGCTCTACAGAAAAACGATCGCACTGGTGTCCAAAGCGCATCTGATTGCACCATACATCCAGGATCAGTTCAGGCATAACACTATGCCCATGTTACATGGCCACAGAAACCCACTGTCCTTACTTGGATATGGCTTGGCTACTTTCAGCTTACAGCATGAGCTGGAGAACTCCACGTGAACCAAGCACACTAGAGCGCAGACAGACAAACCTTCTGAGCAGAGGTGCAAAGACAGCACGTTCTCAGCCTAGGCAGACACCAAACAACAGCCAGCTGGCAGACCAGCGAGCCAAGGAGGAAATGCAGGTCTCTGGGCTGCTCGTTGGCCTCAAACTCCACCTCATTTCAGGTTACTTCCCTCTCTCATGGGACAAATCCAAAAGCAGGCACCATGGGACTTGGAAACTTGGGT